TTTCCAAAGATGATAGCTAGAGGCTCAGATACCTCCTCTATCAGCTCCTTGAGTATTCTAGGATGCATTTCATCAGGCCCTGGTGACTTGCAGGCATCTAACTTTTCTAGGTGATTTTTGACTTGTTCTTTTTTTATTTTACCTTCTAAAACTACTCCCTTCCCACTAGCATTCACTGTTAGGCATTCCTACAGACTTCTCGGTGAAGACCGAAACAAAGAAGTCATTGAGCATCTCTGCCATTTCCAAGTTTCCTGTTACTGTTTCTCCCTCCTCACTGACCAGTGGGCCTACCCTCTCCTTGATCTTCCTCTTGCTTCGAATGTATTTATAAAAAGTGGGGGCATGGGCTCCTTTGAGGAAGCAGGTGCTAGAGAAGGAACTGGACTTGGAACCTCTAACCATTGTGACTTGTAGAGCTGGACCAAACCCAAGTGGTTTGGTTTTTTTTGGGGGGGGGGAGAAGGGAGGAAGAGCACTTTTGGTTTTGGAGTCTTAGTCTGGTCTGCCTGGCTGAGATTTTGGTACAGCATCTACCTCAACTTCCAGGTTTATGCATAACATTATTCATGTGGTATTTCCTCCCTGCCTGGGGCGGAAGAGTTGGGGCTAGGGACTAGTCTCTTGCCAGAGTTGTCTAGGGCTGGAGGCTTTGAATTAAAAACACAGCATAGGGCTCCCAGCTCCACCGCTACCATATTACCTGGCAGCCATCTGTGATTGCTACAGCTACTTAAAAGGTTTGCTGCTCCGACCCCTTCCAGGGTAGCATCATGACTGTGATGCCATTTACATAGGATCTTGATGTCTGAGCCACCACCTGGGAATTCAGTGGCATGGGCAGCAGGATATAAATAGAAAGTGGCCAGATGTAGTCCTCAGGCCAGGTCAAAGTGTTAGGCAGGCCAGATCTGGCCCCCAGTCTGCATCTTGCCCAGCTCTGGTCCAGATCCTACTCAACATGTATAGTTCCTCAGGGACTACGAAGAAGCACAGAACAAGGGATGGAGATTGACACTTCACCCCTCAGCTACATGGCAATAGCTTTCAAATAATTGAATAGCACCCCATTACAAACAGCCTAGAAGTAACCAAAGTTCATCAAGAAGCAGCCTTCTAACAGATCCATAAAGGGAGTAAACAAAGAATCTGCCAGCACACATGCTCATTTTTAAAGAGCTACAACCCAACAAGAAAAAAAAATTAGGGGGAAATTTTTCACTGAGTTAGATGTTTTACTGCTCTTTGAAAATTTCTTCTTTAATGACCGGTTTGCTACTTAACACAAAACAATTATTGTGAGAGGAAAAGGAACAAGTGAACAGTGAACAGCATCTGTATTCATCTGTAGATTTCACAGAATCATTGAATACTAGAAGTAGAAGGAACCTTGAGAGCTTATCAAGTCCAGTTCCCTGCCCTCATGGCAGGACTAAGCACGGTCTACATCAGGGGCAGGGAATCTTTTTTGGATAAGGGGCCGCTGACCCACAGAAAAATCAGTCGGGGGCCATACATTCCTGTGGTGGGAAGAACACCTCAGCAGTCCAGCACGCCGGCATTTAATTTCAAAAAGGGGAATTACACAAAATTGAGGAGATTAGTTAAACAGAAATTAAAAGGCACAATGACTAGAGCCAAATCCCTGCAAGCTATATGGAAACTTTTTAAAGACACCATAATAGAGGCCCAACTTAAATGTATACCCCAAATTAAAAAACATAGCAAGAGACCTAAAAAAGAGTCACCTGCAAGCTACATGGAAACTTTTTAAAGACACCATAATAGAGGCCCAACTTAAATGTATACCCCAAATTAAAAAACATAGCAAGAGACCTAAAAAAGAGTCACCGTGGCTTAACCACCATGTAAAAGAAGCAGTGAGGGACAAAAAGGCATCTTTTAAGAAGTGGAAGTCCAATCCTAGTGAGATAAATAGAAAGGAACATAAACACTGTCAAATCAAGTGTAAAAATGTAATAAGAAAAGCAAAAAAAGATTTTGAGGAACAGCTAGCCAAAAACTCACAAAGAAATAACAAAATGTTTTGTAAATACATTAGAAGCAGGAAGCCTGCTAAAAAACCTGTGGGTCCCCTAGATGATCGAGCTATAAAAGGAGCAATCAATGACGATAAAGCCATTGCAAAGAAACTAAATGATTTCTTTGCTTCAGTCTTCACGAATGAGGATGTTGGGGAGATTCCTGAATCTGCACCGTCCTTTGTGGGTGATGAATCTGAGGAACTGTCCCGGATTGAAGTGTCATTAGAGGAGGTTTTGGAACAAATAGAAAAACTTAATGTTAACAAATCTCCGGGACCGGATGGCATTCATCCAAGGGTTCTAAAAGAACTCAAATGGGAAATTGCTGAGCTATTATCGGTAGTTTGTAACCTATCCTTTAAATCGGCTTCCATACCTAATGAC